TCCAACCTTTGGTTAGCAGCCGAGTGTATTTGCATCACTCAGGGACTCCCAAGGTTGTTAAAGATTATTTTAAATCAAGCACAATGAATTATGTACAATGAAACCTGTAAGCCAGAGCTCAACCAGACTGCCTTGTTTTTCCGGGTCTCCCAAGTTTTTCGCCTTGGACAGGGTGTAGTCTTACGACTTTTCTGTCTGTCTCTATTAGCGGAAAATATTTGAATTTTCCTTCTCTGACAAGTTTCTGCCTTACACATGTTCCAGCTTTCACAGGTTTTACTGTATCTGTGATCCAGATCATGTGTACCTAAAACCCCTTCTAGTGTTATTTCAGAATTTAGTGAACTCCTATCTTAAATCATTGTTTTTCAGTTTCCTCAGCAAAAGACAGAGAGAAATAATTAATGCAAACCTTTCTATATTTTTACAGCTCTTGTGTGAAATCAAAAAGCTACAGAGGACCAGGAAATCAGATAAAGGGTAAACAAAAGCTGTATTGAGTATTCAGTGCTCACTTGTATGTTTCAAATAATGAGTTAATTATTTCCCATTTATGAATTTGATAAATTCTAACAGTTCATATATGTCATTCTAGATCCATCTATAACTGCCATGGTTAAGACAGTTGTTGAAGAAATAGACTCCCGTGGCAACGTTATCTCATCCAGAATTCACACCGTGGAAGAGATATCCACCAAAGTCAACACCACCAAGAGTGAACAGATGGTGCCTTCCTGAACTCCAGCTCCCCAAAAGAGCAGGCCCCTAAATTAAGCTGCCATATTGAAACTAGATTCCTAAATAAGGCCCCTCTTATTTTTCTGCTTTTCTTCCAATGAATTAAGACAAATGGTTTTTAGAATAGTAACATTTCTTTGCCTTTCTCTACGGTGGTGTTTCAATAAAAGTTCTTCCTGTTGCAAGTCATCTTTACTGGTTGTGATCAATCTTTGCATTTTAAATATACCCTCCAATGGGAGCTGAAACTGATTTTCCAATTCTTCTGTTTAACCCAATGGTCTTCACAAGTCAGGAGTAAATTTAACAGGTAAACTAGTTGGTATCTTTTTTACATCTCTTTAAAAATTAAAATCTTCCTTCACACACTAAGTTCCAGACAATGAGGATAAAACCGTTAATAAAGTCTAATCTCTAAGCTTAACATGCTCGTAAAAGTGGAAACAAGGAATTGAAGAACTGGAAACATCATAAAGTAAAGGAAAACCTATAAGTAGTAAGATTTAAAGGTAGAAGAAAGAGAGAAAGGCTAAGGGACAATGGTAATTGGAGAATTCCAGTGTCTGTCTTAACCATTCCTCTGTGAGGGTGGGAATTCGCAAGTACTCTACTTAGTTTTTGCCACCCAAGACTAAAGAGCAATGTGTCTCTCTTTTGAGTCAGACATAATTTTCAGTGAAATAGTGTTTTGTGTTTACCATCAATGAACCTATTTCTCTAATCTGTGGTTCAAGGTTTGGTAGAGATGGGAGCGGTGTAAACTCAGCAGAAAATTCTCCATAGGCTTACATGGGGGTGAGGGAATTTGGCCCCATCCCAACCCCATAACAGGATGCCCAATGGCAGATTTTCTCTGTAACCAGTACTGTATTACTGAACTCCGCAGAACTGGTTCAGAACAGTTGAACTGTAATGACTTTAAAGCTGTCTTCCCCCTTCTCTTTCCTACGTGTGCTTAATAGCACCCAAAGGAATCGAAGGCAAATACTCACCTTCCCATTTAACTTTCTAATTAACCTGTCCTTCCATCATATACTTTTATAAACCTAGAAGCAGTTTATCAAAATTAGAAGAAAACATCCTATCACATGGTTCCTTAATTAAAAGTATTTATGTCAGATGTATTGAGTATTTGAGATACCTGACCACTAATCAACTCTTTTAACTTAAGCAGGAACGAGTGGCTATATTCTGGACTTTTTAAGATAACTTCCAGGAAAGAATCAACAATCCTTGATAACCAGCACTTACTATGTTATAGGCGCTGTTCAAACATCAATTAATCCTCAAAACAACTCTGTGAAGTAGATACTATTATCCTCATTTTACAGATAACGAAACTGAGGCAGAGAGTAGTTGAGAAATTTGCTTAAGGTCACACTGCTAATGACTAGAGGTGATGGAATGCTAACCCAGCCAATGTGGTTTCGAGTCTCTGCGCTTAGCCACTACCTAATACCATGTTAATGAGAATCTTGGAGTCCCTGGCTGGTGCAGATGGTCAACACACTCGGCAGCTAACTGAAAGGCTGAAAGTTCAAATCCACCCAGAGGGACCTTAGAAGAAAGGCCTGGCTATCTATGTCTAGAAAATCAGCCATTGAAAACCCTATAGAGTACAGTTCTACTCTGACACACATGGGATCACCATGAGTCAGAGTCCACTCTACAGCAACTGGTATACTTGTGTAATGAGAACGTTAATGACTCCAACTTCCTTCTAGTGAGAGATAAAATAACAACCTAAATCCAGTCAGTCTGAGATTAAGCAAAATCACTAGGGTCTCCTTCTTCACAAACAAACCAAAGAAACCATTCTGTGGGAGGAATTAGCACACCAGAATCCAATTCTCAGAAAAAACTAGGAATCCAGTGAACAAACAAATCTCATTCACTTTCTACATTTGTTAGCTTGTCTAAACTTAGCTAACAAATGTAGAATGTGAATGAATTTTAAACAATGGCAAAAGATATTGAAGTCCACTTGAAATGAAACACTACATTTATCAGGGGAAACATTAGTATAAGACAATTAGAATAGGATAATGTATGCAAAACTGTATTCAGAAATAAGGAGATATTAACACTCCATAGCTCAAACTTTAATTCGTCTGAGTACCTAAAATACGGACATTATATAATGCTCTAATACCTAGTAGATTCTCAAGAAATGCTAAACGGCTATTTCTCCCCCCTCCTTTTTTTTTTAATTGTTGTAAAATTATATATAACACAACATTTGCCAATTCAACATTTTTCAGGTGTACAATTTAGCAATTGATCATGTTATGCAACCATCACCCATAATAAATGGCCGTTTCTTACCATGAATAAAATAACCACTCTCGGGGAAGAAATATATAGATAGAAGTGGCCCAGAGAATGTTAAATCTAGCCCCTACTGTAGAAAGGACTAAAGCAGACCTAAAATTTTACAGGAAGCATTAGTTTAGAAGAAAGTTATGATGAAGAAAATTCAAGAAACTTGCCCTTATGAGCAAACAGGGGACAATGTTTCAAGGAGTTAAGCATCATACATTCCAGTCCTGCTTTAATATAGACATGCTTTGTGATCTATGCTGTCACTTAGCTTCAGAGCCAGCTCATTTCCAAAATGGTTATAATAATACATGCGTAACTTATTTCACAAAAGATTGTGAGTTAATTAGTATTTGTAGGATACCTAGAGATAAATAGATTGTTAATAATGCTTTGCAATCTCTTAATAGCTCTTATTTAAGAACCTCCAGCCTTATAAACTATCACACTAACAACACAGTCTGTTTTTCGTGATTTATTTATAGGAAACATGGACAAAAGATAATAATTTGACCTGGCCACGACAGAATCAATAATAAGACTGTGACTATGAGCTACATGTCTTAACTTACCATGCATTGTTCTAAATATTTAGCGATGGTCCAAATTACAGTTTTCTGGTAATTATCCTAAAATATTTTTGGTCAAAAAATACTCATGCATTCTGGCCCACTAAATATTCCAGCAATTAACGTTGAATATTCTTCCAGGTATTTGATATTTATAACATAGAAAAATTTCATTCAGAAAAAAACTACTGTTTCAAAACTAAACCTGGGATCAGTTAACCAGTCAGTTTATACCATTATAGCTGACAGAGCCCTGATCCTGTCTGACATGTCCACTTTATTCTAATAATCTAACTAATTAACGTTTACAGAGTGTTTGTGCCCTGCAGACTGTCTTATTCATTACTGGAGCTGCTCAACATTCGAGACTGTTCGATGATATTATTTTCATCTGCCTCAATAAGGAACTGAAGTACAGTGAGACTGGGTAATTTCCCCAGTGCATCAAGGCTAGAGAATGAAGAGTCTGCTTCCTTATGACAACTAATCTTTTACCTAGGACGCTATACTCATTGGCTTTCTAGGTAGTGATGAAAATACCCCTCTCCTTTATATATTTTATTCTCCACTTATCAACATGAAGCTCACTTCTCAAAATAATTCATAATGCCTGAAATATATAAGTTTAAACTAAAAGGCAGTTAACAATATTTTTGATATAGGGAAGTGAACAATTTGGAGTCTTGGAAGTTTGTTGAATGGACATTCTGCTTCTGGGCTAAACCAAGAAATCTCAACACAAATAATTCTCTATCAACACCATATGTTTACTAACTTTAGTGAAATTGATAAACAAGGCACTGCAGGACCTCTTTTATTTCAGTTTAAAAATCAATTAAAAATTCCCACTACCAAAGGACCACCAGGTATTGAGAGTGCCTGATTTTAACAAGAAAGGAAACACTCATTAAAATGAACAGAATAGAGATACTCCTAAGCATTTGCAGGACAAAACTAGTAGACATTGGCCATTTGAATTATTAATTCTTTGTTATGTGGAGCAAAAAACTAGAACCTATCCCAGAGGTCAAAAAGATGTGCGTTTACTTAGGGAGTCCCCGACTTACGGACAACTCCTACTTGTCTTTTAACGTTGTGTAAATTTGCCCTCACTTTGAAACAATTCAACCAACCCCAGCGCCTACTCACAACAAATTCTTCATCACAATCGCCTTCACTTGCTGTGTGTGCAGGTTTTAAATCATTGAAAAGGCTAAATAAGAACCATCTGCACCTGTTTCGACTGAGCTACAAATTCTACTTAAAGATACGCTTAGGAACTGATCTTTGTCGTAACCCAGGGATGTCCTGTGTTTCATTCTGACCTCTGAGACTATGATTTAGTATTACTCCACCTGGCACCTTTTTAATACATAAAAATGATCCTTGGGGCACCTTTCCACCTACAGACAGGATACTATTAAAAATCGCCCAATTATGAAAAACAACAATTAGAGTACTAGTAATATTTTATTACAGATCAGCATAACTAAGACTGAAATGACCTCCTAAATCCTATAAAAGGCCAAATGGAGCTAACCTCTAGAGAGGACAGTATACTTTGCCTTTGCTTCTCTTTGGGAAAGGGTCACTCACCTGTCCTATGGCCATGTCTTTTCGACTTTCTAGTGGAACCAGGTGGATCTGCTCCCGAACTGGCTCTGTTAGACTGTCAGGTGGAGGACTAGGCTTTGGGGCTGGAAATGTGTGCAGTGGGTCAGGAGCAGGAAGCAGCTTTTCTCGGACTATTGAGGGCATTTCTTCTGGAGGAGGCTTCTCCAATGGTAGTGGAGGCTTGGGAAGTGGGGTCTGTACTGGGTTTCTGGGAAATGAGCATGGCCTTCTCTCTGGAAATGAGAAGGTGACCATGCAGAATCTTAACGACCGCCTGGCATCCTACCTGGACCATGTGCGAGCTCTGGAGGAAGCAAATGCAGGTCTAGAGCAGAAGATCAAGGGTTGGTATGAGAAATATGGCCCTGGTTCTTGCCAGGGACTTGATCGTGACTATAGCAGATATTTCTCAGTCACTGAAGATCTTAAAAGGGAGGTAAGAACTGTGAGTTTGTGCGCTTATATAATGTATATTTATAATTTATAAAAATACACAATTTATACTATATATTTACGTATTTACATATGTATATATCTTAAAAAGAAAATATAAAATGTGCTTAACAAATCTGCATGATGTAGAATTTATTCATTCTATATTCCCAGTGCTTAGGGCACTGCCTGGAATAAATATTTGTAGAATTAATTAACGAAAGAGAAATAGTTTTAAATGGATATTATTTTGTTGTTTCTGTATTTGGCTCATACTTTTTGATTAAAAAAAAAAGAACTATAATTGTAAGAGTTACAGTTTAGCTCTTAAGCTCTGAACACTTATATGAAGAAAATCCAGATTCCTTTAATTTAGAAAAAAATGATACTAAAATAGATGCTTGTGGGATTACGAAGATATACAATCACAGGGAAATCTGGAGATTCCTTTTACTTCTGTTACTTAACATTTTGCCCAATATTCTCTATTTAGATTATTTCTGTGACTACCCACAATGCCAGCATTGTTCTACAGAAAGACAATGCCAGACTGACTGCTGACAACTTCAGGCTGAAGTAGGTGAAAATAAAGTAATTAATTACGATAAAAGTAAAAATACTACGTTTGGGTAAAGTAACATATCTATTGATTTTTAAACTAAAATGTTCTTATGAAGCCAAACTAGATCAATGAGGAAACGGAATTAAATAAGCCCTTGGAAAAAGAGCTATCATAAATTTTAGGAGTTCCTGGGTGGCACTAGCGGTTTAAGTGCTCATCTACTAGCCAAAAGGTTGGCAGTTCAAACCCACACAGAGGTGCCTTGGAAGACAGGTCTGACGATCTGCTTTGAAAACCCTATGGAGCAGTTTCACTCTGCACACGTGGGGTCACTGTAAGTCGGAATCAACTTGACAGCACCTAACAACAACAAAGAATCATAAATTTTAAAACATCTAACATTATTTTTATTCAACTGTGAAGCACTCTGGATGACAAAAATCAACTCTGAAGAAACAACTCCTTCCAAAAATTATTCATAAATCAGTAGGTAGCTCAAACCGTTTTAATAGCTTGCCATTGCTTCAGACATGTGTAGAGAACATCATATCCTCTCAGCATGAAAAATGTCTTAAAAAGTTATGCTTTGCACTTGCCTGTGATTAAATTCTCAAGCACTTTAATAACCTTTAAGGTATGAAAATGAGCTTGCTCAGCACCAGAGTGTCGAGGCTGACATCAACAGTCTTCGCAGAGTGCTGGATGAGCTGACCCTTTGTACAAGTGACCTGGAGATACAGTTCGAAACACTCAGCGAGGAATCAACATACCTCAAAAATAATCATGAGGAGGTAAGGAACCCAGCAGACCGGCTTTGTACAGAATCAGATTTCCTCCTTCAAGTACACTGCTTACTTCATTGCAGAATGTGTGTATCTATCAAACTTCTAGCTTGGGTGTTCATACTGATCCCTTTTGCAGGAAATGAAAGCCCTTCAGTGTACAGCAGGAGGAAATGTGAACGTAGAGATGAGTACAACCCCAGGAGTGGACCTGGCTGTTCTGTTGAACAATATGAGGGCCGAGTATGAGGACTTAGCTGAGCAGAACCGCAAAGACACCGAGGCCTGGTTTAATGAGAAGGTACATCTATGACAGATTACACACTAAGTGTTTGTTCAGTAGATGACCAAGCTGGTCACTAACCCTCTGACAATTACACTTCAGAGTGCGTCGCTGCGACAACAGATTTCTGACGACACAGGAGCAGCCACGGCAGCCAGAAACAAGCTGACAGAGCTGACACGCGATACCCAAACCCTGGAAATAGAACTTCAGTCTCTTATGGCTGTGGTACGTAGGAATTGCCGTTGAACGGAATGTGTGTGTGTGTGTGTAACTAAGTATATATAAATATATTTATAATAAATGTAGATTAAATATGCAAATATATTAAATACGTAAGTATATTAAATATTAAGTATATAAATACATTATCAATATATTATATATTAATATGTGATATCAAGTATATTAATATTAACATATTAGTATAAAATGTGTAAGCATATTAAATATCAAGAATTCTTTCCATAAACAATATTACTTTTAAGTCACCAGTCCCAAAACTTGAAACATGACTTCTTTCAATGGAGAGGAAATGCCTTTTTAAAAACTTGCTTATGTTGATTTTCAATTGAAAACATTTAGACCTTATACAAATATTTATTTCCACCTTGAGAATGCTTAAAATATAAACATGCCATTTTTTTTGCACACTCAAGGCTACTTTGTTCCTCTTCCAGAAACATTCCTATGAATGCTCCTTGGCCGAGACTGAAGCAAATTACTGCCTTCAACTCCAGCAAATCCAGGATCAGATCGGGGCATTGGAAGAACAACTGCAACGGATTCGAACGGAAACGGAAGGCCAGAAGCTGGAGTATGAGCAGCTTCTAGATGTCAAAATCTTTTTAGAAAAAGAAATCGAAACTTACTGCAGATTAATAGAAGGAGAAGAAAGGTAAATATTAACTCCTGAAAAACAATCTCATATCAAACGAGTTTTCTCAGTGTATCAATATTGTAGCCTAGAATTTTCTATTTGGAAGATTATACCTGTAGATATCCTCTGGAATTCATTAAAATGTATTATTGCAACCAAGTGAAATGAAAACAGACAACAAATTAGATTTCTAAAGTAAGTAAAGAATTTGTATCTAATATAAACAATATTTAAATATAGACTACTGGACAATTCCAATACTCCAATCCAGAGGAAAGTTTGCTTTCTTTGATTTAATGTTGAATCATATTTCTTATAATAACACATTCTATTTTATTATTAATTCACTGCTTACCCCACATGCACCCTGTATGGACTGAGTTATTACACTTTCATTTGAAAGATGAGCAATGAAGAAATTGGAAGATTTAACTGGAGAGGCACCATAGCTTGTTAGCTAAAAGCAACAGCCCTGGAATTGCAGCCCTGATTCAAATCCTACCAACTGGGTGATTTCAAGCACATTGTTTAGCCTCTTTGAGCTCCAGTTCCTCATTGGTAAAACTCCAATCACACCAAAACCACACTCTTAGCTACTCTTAACCACAGTACTTCATTATGTACGTGAAGTGTTTGCGACAGCAGCTTGCACACAGAAGGCACTCGGTAACCAGTGGCTATTACTAAATGCTTGCCCATGGTCACACCATGAGTAGGTAGCATCTTATGCATCCTCCAAGGCCAGGGTCAGCCCTCTGCAGCCTGTTCTCACAAGAACCCAACAATGATTGCTCCCTCCTCAGAAGAAAGTGCTTATTATGCCATTCATTTTCACTTCTCTGATAGTACCCTTTATGCCATTTTATAAATAACTTTTTACATGCAGATGCTTTATTTTCTTATCAACAGTATATATTGCTTGTGTCTTACCTCTATATTTTCTACAACACCAAGCCCAGTGTCTTCTACATAGTAGGCACCCCAAACACGTCCTTTGGCCATTTGATTGACAAAAAAGTCAGAATGAGAACTTCAGGTCCCCATATTGCTAAATGAAAGAGATTATATCTATTCATGAGAGAATTTCTGATTATAAGCATTTATTTGATCTCTTCTTTCAGTATGTTGAAGTCATAAAAAGCTGACTAATGTTCCTCAAACGTAAGAAGAAACTGAACCTTTTTTTGAAACTAAAACTCCAAAACTTTCGTTCCCAATTCATGGTTATTTCTCCCTAATGGAAAAAAAAAAATACAATAATTTATTCTTTTCTTCACAGAGGAAGCAAATCCACATGTTACAAATCAAAAAGATGTGTGCCTATAAATCCCGGAAATCAAGTGAAAGGTATAGAAGGTTTTTGACTTGGTGTAACTCTTAAATTTCAGCAGTTATAGTCAATAAGTCACTTACTTATAAACTAAATAAAATTTGCTTCTAAGCTTAATTCTAGTGAATGAAGGAGTAAGGGGTCATTATGACAGCTCTGAATATGTGTATTTTATTCCTGTAGAATAGATGTGGTCAAATTATATAATTACTGAAATGAAGACTCAATCCTCAACATCTTACTTACCTAGAACCTATTATCTTCACAGTTTCAATGCTTTGGTAAAAGAACATTTTATATGACATTTTATTATTTTAACCACGAAAACAGAACAAGTTGGTATTTAAAAGAAGACAGCATTACTTACTCCAGGCTTGTACTTGCCCAATGCTCAAAAAAACCAAATACCAAACCCGTCGCCGTCAAGTCGATTCCAACTCATAGCGACCCTATAGTACAGAGTAGAACTGTCCCATAGAGTTTCCAAGGAGCACCTAGCACCCAAGGACTTTAAGCACAGTATCATATGTCAATTTACTGCATACTTGGAAAAACATTTTTAAAAAGCGTGCCGGTCCTGACTGAATGAATACCTTTCAACCAGTTCAGAACGAGCACTAATTTTTCGTTTATTTTATTTTAGACTCGACAGAAGAAATTGTTGTTAAAACAGTAGTTGAAGAATTAGATCAACTTGGCAATGTCCTTTCATTAAGGGTTCACTCAGTTGAAGAAAAATCCTCTAAAATAAGCACCATTACTAATGGAGCAACGAGTACCTTCTAAAGCACCATGACTGGAAAAGTTATGTCAAAGCAACAACCACAACAGACACCTGCCTGTGTAAAATGTCGTTATCCAAATAACCCAGGGTTATGGTCTTGAAAATAAAAGGGCTAAATTTATTTTCCCTCTTTCTTTTCTCATGCTCTTTGCATGTTATCTTTTTTAGGAGAAGGAAAAAATCTCACTCTGTCTCTAGTTTGTTTTTATTTTGGATTTCTTTGCAATTTCATTAAAAATTCTTCTCTTGCAAGCTATTTATAATAAATCTGGTTATTTTGAATCTCCACAGTTGATTCCAACGTATTAGCGCCAAGCAGGTGCTAATAAAATAAGTGCTTTGTCTCACAGTCACATTTACTTCAGTTCATGACAGGGTAAACAGCAAAGAGCTGGCCCTAATCCCAGGTGTCAAATCTGTTCCTGATTAACTACATAAATGTCTTAATCTCTTCGGGTTTGGGTTTCTGTGGATGTAAAAGAAAAGTATACCGGTGGATCGTAAATACAGGTTTCCCTCGCTATCCGAACGTGAGCGTTCCTATGAAACCTTTTGTAAGCCGAAATGGCATAAAACAAAGAAGCAATTCACATTAATTTATATGGGAAATCTATCTCAGCGTTCCCAGACCCAAAAAATAATCTATCCAATCATACCAAATAACACATAAAACCTAAAATAACTCTAACATACAGTATTCTCTGACACAGTTCAAAGCTATGGCGGCTTCATGCTGAGATGCTGAGTGTAGTTCCTTTGGAAGGAGCTTGGCGACACCACTCTCACTGCTTGGGTTGCGCGCTGCCTCTTTAACGGTTTGCCGCAAAACGAATGCTGAACGTTAGTTTCTGCTTTTCGCCTTTTTTCGTAAAAGCAAAAGTTCTCTTCGGATTTCTTTTGGTTAGCGAAGAAAACAGGTACTAGAGTTAAGTCTTTCGTAAAAGCAAGGTGGCGTAAAGCAAACTTTCAAAAAGCGGGGGATACCTGTCTTTCTTTACCTTTGTAATATGTAATCTGAATCAGTGGTCAGCAAAGGTTCGTTTGTTGAATCTGAATCTGGATAGCTGTTTTTCCACTTTGCAGTACATCCATTTCCCTGTTCCTGCCGTGGTGGTGGTTGAGAAAATTGAGGACTGCACCACTCACACCTACAAGTGTGTGATGCTCAAATTCTATTGTCAACTTAGCTAGGGTGTGGTGCCCAGTTGTATGGTCAAACACTATTCTAAATGTTGCTATGAAGTTTCTTACATATTATTAACACTTAAACTGGAGCCCTAGTGGTGCGGTGGTTAAGAGCTACTGGCTGCTAACCAAAAGGTCAACAGTTTGAATCCACCTGTTGGTTTCCAGCTGCTCCTTAGAAACCCTATCAGTTATACTCCGTCCTATAGGGTCACCATGAGTCAGAATTGACTTAACGGTTTGTTTTTTCTTAATTGGTTTAACACTTAAATTAGTTGACCTAAGTAAAGAAGATTACTTCCAATAATGAGAGTGGGCCTTATCCTATCAGTTGAAGGCCTTAAGAACAAAAATGAGGTTACCCAAAGGAGAAGGATTTTGCCTTAAGACTGTAAATAGATATCCTGCTAGAGTTTGAAGCCTATTGCCTGACCTACCAATTTCAGACATAAGACTGCTGGAGTTTCCAGCCTGTCCCTTGACCCGGATTTTGGATGGCTTGCCAGCCCTCACAATTGTATGAGCCAATTACTTTAAAAAAGATAGATAGATGGATAGATGGATGAATGGATGGATACATAGATACCGTTGAGTCAATACTGACTCATGGCGACCTTATATACAACAGAACAAAACATTCCCTGGTCCTGTGTCATCTTCACAATCATCGGCATGTTTGAGTCCATGGTTGCAGCTATTGTGTCAATTCATCTTACCGAGCGTCTCCCTCACCCTCACTGGCCCTCTACTTCACGAAACATGATGTCCTTCTCCAGTGGTTGATTCCGCCAGATGGCACGTCCAAAGCAAGCCAAATCAGACAATGATCTATTGTAATCCATAAGGTTTCCATTGGCTTATTTTTCAAAGTAGATCACAAGGCCTTTCTACCTAATCTGTCCTTAGTCTAGAAGCTTCACTGAAACCTGCCTACCATGAGTCACCTTGCTGGTATTTGAAATACCAGTGGCATAGCTTTCATCATCATAGCAACACACAAGCCACCACAGTATGAGATACTGACAGACTGGTGGTAGGTTGGTAGGTAGATAGGTAGATAGATAGATAGACAGACAGACAGACAGATAGATAGATAGATATTTCTCAGTCTTGCTCATATCCTGCTGCACACAAGGACCTATCTGATATTCTTACCAAATAATCATGATCTTTGCAGCTGGGGCTGGACAGCAGCCATGTTCTAGGTTACAGAGGCTTTTTAGTTGGGACAGAGTGAAGTGGGGAGCTCTGCAATAACTTGGATTTCTAAATTGCATGACAGGGCATCACTAAAGGGATTTGACCAACTTGTGCATGGGCAATGTGAAATTTAAAGTGGCCAATAAACACGGAATGGCACCATCTCGGGGTGCTGGGCCCCTGGGTTTGCATCTCCATGTCTCGAAAATAGCCCTGATTGCTATTGTTTCCTGCCCCCACATAAGAGAGTTGACCTCAGCCTGGCAGTTTCTCGAGATGTAGATACAGCTGTAGGTTACCTTTGCAAGGATCTTCTTGTGATAAATGACCCCCACCATGGTGATGGAAGGCAGAATTTTAATGATGTACAGTTGAGTTTGGTCAGGTTAGAAGTGCTTTCAATTGCAGGACTATAATGACAATGATTTACATTATTTAATGTACTTTATTTCACTTTACATGTATTCACCAATTTAATCTTCATGAAGATTTTGAGGTAAGTGTTTTTATTATCTTTATTTTATGGATGAGGAAACAGAAACTCAAAGAGATTAAGGAATTTCCCCAGGGTTAGAGAGCTGATGTGTGGTGGGGCCTAGATTCAAACTCACATCCCCCTCTCCACCATGGTAGCCAGTCGCGTTGACTAAGACAAAATCAACATAGGAATTTCACTCAAGCACATTCTATTTTTACACTAAGACTCCATGCCACCCAAGAGGGACCATGATCAGATAAACCTTGTGTCTATAATCAGAAGTGACACAATCAGAAGTCAGCCTTTGAGGCTGACTATGAAGACACAGACTTTTCTTCTCTGGCCCTTTCCTGCCTCTAGCTCCTCTTCCAGCACATCCCTTCTCGGCCCCCATATTCATCAAGAACTGGTCACCAGATACCCCTCTCTCTGTGGCTACAGTTTAATTTGTTATGCTTCATTATTCTCTCATACTGACTGGCAGGATCATCCGGAGTCTCTGTCTCCCAGGACTTGGAGGACTAGAGCAGCACGCTGAACTCTCTCAAGATGCTTGGTTAATTCATAATCTTACAATACAGTGTTGGATGCTTTTTCTTTTATGACCACCAGTCCTAGTCACTCCTTCTTGTTCCCAATAGAGTTCCTATTCTTTCCAAACACAATCTGACTAACTTCCTTTTTCTGTATCCACCCTTTCCTACTTAAACAGATAAATGACTTGCCTATCGACATAAGACAGATTTATAATGAATATAAGTGTAAACTGTGACTCCAAAACGGATGTGTGTCAGAGTAGAACTGCACTCCATAGGATTTTCAATGCTGTGACCTTTCAGAATTAGATCACCAGGACTTTCTTCTGAGGAGCCTATGGGTGAACTCAAACCAACCTTTCAGTTAGCAGCTGAGCGGTTAACCATTTTTACCACCTGGGGATTCCTGGTTGACTGCCTGCTAAGACAGAAGATTTAGGCAGGCAGAAGAGTCTCTTAACATAATAACCAAAATATCCAGGATATAATTTTAAAAAATTACACATCACAGCAAGAACCAGAAAAACTACAATTTGGATGAGAAAAGATAATCAACAGATTCCAGTACCAGCCATCATAAAAAATACTTCAACAATAAATTACAATTTCTCTTCAAAAAATTGAAGAGTCTTTGCGGCCCCCAGGACACACTTTTGGCCCGGTGGTGGAGTCGCTCCCGGGGTTCGCAGTTCAGCCAGGGATTGGACAGCCCTATGGGGCAGGGCGGGACTGGGGGCGCGGCACTCTGGAGACGGGGACTGGCGGAGGGGGGCGGTGGACAGGAGAGCTGGTGATGGGGGGCCCCGGGGTTGAGGGGGGGAACAGTGTTGACAGGTCATGGGGTTGTTGACCATTGTCATGGGGCAATGTGTGTGCTGGCTGTTTGATGGGAGACTGTTTGTTCTGTAGACCTGCATCTAAAGTACAGAAAAAAAAAAAATTATCTATGTGAGATCAAACTGACAACAGCAACTCTAAAGGTTTGATAGGAAGCCTAGGGGCCAGTGAGTTGAAGATAATGGTGATGGAATAATTTGGAAAAGGATAGAATAGCAGCACAACTGGAAGAATGTAATCGATGTCTCTGAATTGTACATGTAGAAATTTCTGAAATCGTTTAACTTTGGCTATGTATATTTTCACCAAAAAAAAAAAAAAGTCCTCCATGGTTGAGAAGGGAGAGTGTTGACACGTCGTGGGGTTGTTAACCAATATCATAAAACAATATGTGTACTACTGTTTCATGAGAAACTTATTTGTTCTGTAAACCTTCATCTAAAGTACAATAAAAAATAAAAAAATGAAAAATCTCTACAAAAAAAATAGGAGTATAAAAAATGGAAATTATAGAACTGAAAAATACAATAACCAAGTAGAAACCTATCTAAATGGGTCTAATAGTAGAGTGGAGATCACAGAAGATAAAATTAGTGAACTTGAAGTAAAAAACATAATAATATCATTTACAATTGTTCCAAAGAGAATAAAATGCATAGATATAAATCTAATAAAATATGTACAGAATCTGTATGATGAAAATTACAAAATGCTGATGAAAGAAATCAAAGAAAACCTAAATACTTGGGGAGACATATTGTGTTCA